ATAATGTTTGGAATCAACTCTGTTGCCAGTGATAATTATATGACTCATTCTCATTCTGCAATTTACGAAACAGGTAAGAAAAACTGGTGTTTCAAGACATCAATAAAACAGGGGTATAATAATTTTTTTCAAAAAGAGATGAAGTACAAAGTGATGATCATATGCAAAAAGGAAAGCAAATTTATTAAGTAATGGTAGCATTTGCAAGATGGGAGTGTCTTGTAGGTATCTGAATAGAAGCTTGTTCCAAGATCCAACGCTGACTAAATCATTTCCAATGTAAATACTATGTCAAATTATGTGGAAATTTATAAACAGAATGGAAACTACTAAGACACGAGATTAGTTTTTCTGCTTTCTTAAGTGCTTCACATATTTAGAATTTTATGTATAGATTTTGTCTCTGAACCATAAGAGGAAGGCAAAAAGTTTTAGAGAAAAGTTGATAAATTTGATTTCTTTCCAGAGAGGGGGAGGAATATGAGAAAGAGACCCTAAGGGGAAACATATAACAAGGATTATATTTTTGAGTCTTGGAAACAGAAGGTGAAGAGGGTATCAGCTTGTTAAGATTACATATGTGAAAATTTAATCAGAAGGACACTAAATACAATTTATATTGTACACAGTTATAAAAAGTGAAAGGAATGGTTTTAAGTAGTGGGAGGCTGGATTTTACCTAGATATGGAAGGATTTTGTGACCATTTTAAAGATAAAATTCAGGATATTTTAGTTAAGGGAGGTTGTAACTTTTCAATATATTTAGACTGAGAATGAAATTTGCATGGATGGTGGTTCAGATTTTCATTAGGAGATATCTTTAGATCTCTCACATCTTGATGATTCTATTATTTGGAAACCAGACATCAACAATTCATTAATCTATAATAATTATATGTCTGGGAATGTGTTTCTGGAGAATAGGTTAATTCTATATGGGTCAAAGAGAAAGGACTAATCATAATGAAAGGCAAAGAGCTAATAGATTGAAATGATTGGTTATAGGTAATATAATTGAGAAAAACAAACTTGTCTTTTGAGTAAAACCAACTTATCAGAAAAGGTGGCTTTAGAATATATTGTGGAAGGTTAATGTAAGTATTTGATGACCTCCTGATGAAAAACTTCACCTTAGTGTCTCCATCAGGTATCCTTTTATGGCTATTGCTCAGGATGGAAAATTGGGTTCTAACTGTGCATCAAGTTGACATATGTGAATTTCACACATTAAACTGGGAGACTTCCTAAGTTCTCTGATATTTGATCTTGTATATCCCATTCTTTTAGTCCATTAGAGAAAATTTATTTCTTACCTGTTCCCCCCAACTTTCTTTATTTTAGTACTGATCCCTCAGTAACTGAAAATCACTCAGTTTTACACACTCAGTGTTACTAGTTTCTATATAGTTAGCATCATCTTCTCCTTTACTGAAATTCCCGGTTCTCATATAGTGAAAGGGCATCAGAGAGCCAAAAGTCAAGCAAATCCACAGTTAGATGTTTATGGAGAAATCCCTGCAAGAGACTAAAACCTTAGAAGACAGCTGCAGACATAGTAGTATATGTTTTTATAATTACAGTATTTCTCTTAGCTCTCAAATTTCATTGATTTGCCACACACTTACATGGACTTCCTGAAGACGGTAGTATAAAGAGTACCTCACAAAGTACTGAACTTAAAGTGGAGAAAGTCTTTCTTCTCTTTCACCTTATACACATATTTTCCTTATTTCATTTTTCTTTTTAGTATTCATTTTGACATAGCTTATTCCATTTTCTTAATTTTTTGTTTTACTTTTATAATTTCTGGTTTAAGTGATTTTTGTTTCTGTAGAATTCCTCCCAGTCTTTCCATCCATCTAGCCTAGTTATACATCAGGAATATTTTGATGCATTTTATTCATCCAGTTATACCTTTTCAATTTTTGTAGGTTGTGATATTATAAATACTAGAACCACTAGCCATTTACTATTTCAATTGTAGATCTGACTTTCAAATGTTTATAGCTGCCTTTGTTATATCTGAGCTGTGGTTTCTACATAATTGTGGTTTCTACTTTAGCCTTTTAAATTTCAATTTTGTGTTAGCAGTTGAGTTCACAAAAAGGAATAAACACAATGCGACCTCTCAACCACTTACATTATTTTTTTTTTTTTTTAAATAAATTTTATTGTTATATTCCCCATACAATTGCAGCCCCCCCATTCTGACCCCAATCCCTCCCCTCCCGCCCCCGCCACTTACATTAAAACTAGCTATACTGTGATGCTTTCAGTCATGAATAAAGTATTAGGAATAGGAACATGGGGGAGAAAAGCATGAATCTGCATAGTGTATGACGACGTGTTAGGAAATGGAGTTAGAACATTACAGCACATTTACTTCAAGGTTTGGATTATATTCTTCCAGATAGAAGAGCAGAGCATGGAGATGTTAAAAAAAGGAGTTGGAGAAAGAAGCACCATATATTTAAAGGCATGAAGGGTTAAGAAGTGTGTGATCTTCTTAGATAATAAACAGATATTACTAAATCATGGGTTGCAAAAAAGGAAGTAGGAAAAAGAGATAGAAAGTAAGGTTGAAAACAAGACTCCAAATGGCTTTGAATGGTCTATTAAGAGGTTGCAGTTCAACTGGACACAAAAAAGAACTCATTAAACTGTATATACTATGGTTCAGTGCTTGAGAGTTGCTAGAACTGCAAAAACATTTAAAGAGGATCCTGAAGACACTTTGCAGTACCTCTAATGAAAACAGGTGCTAGGTAGGGGTAGTGAGATTTTTTTTTCCAGAGTGACAAATACAAATTGGTCTGTTCAGTTTTTTTTCAAGTAATTCATTACATTATATTAATTTTATAATTTTACTTATGTGAGAGTCACTGTAGAAATACAGGTTATTCCCATTACCAGATACATCTCAAGGGAGAATTAACTGGATTTAGTGACATACATTAGCTCACATTCTCAGTTTTGCAGTACATTAATTTTCTTCATTTTTTCAGATGGAAAATGAGTTCAGGGATAAATTTATCTCACCAAACATGAAGTTATTAGGTGACAGAATGTGAAATATTTTTTAGACATTGAAGCCTATGCTCATTTTATTTTCCTAGACCACTTACTGAAAAATAATAGAAATATTTGTAATAAGCTATTGTAAGAGCTAAATCAAATAATGACAGTAATACATAGAGTCTATCTTTTGATATGAAGTCCCAGGACCATAGACCTTGCACAAAACACTGAATTGGTGTTTGTTGATTTTGATTTTTTCTAAGTAAGAAAGAACTGTTTCTTCTTTTTCTTCTTGTTTTCCTTTAGACATACTTCATTTTCCTGAATTGATGTCTTGACCTTTTTATGACATGATCAGTTTCTAAATTAAAGCAAACATATTTTATTCACAGTTTGAGCAAATATTTTTTTGTCCCTGTTATGTATCTGAAGTGGTTCTAATTTTTTTATACATCGGATTGAATGAGACACACATCTCCATCACTTTATGGGGCTTGAAGCCTAGTTGGGAAGAAGAATTTAGCAAATAGTAAAAAGATAACATTTCTGGTAAGTACTGCTAAGAAATAGTGTTTTTTTTTTAGAGCATATCAATAGAAGTTATGCATAATAGTTTTTCTATCACTAACATGAATACTGTCCTAATCCTAAATACATATTGAAGTATTTTATGATGTGGAAATTTGATGTTTCAAATCAATAATGTTTTATTTCTTGTTCATCGTTCATTATGTTTTATGTTGACTGCTACTGTTTTATTGAGTGGTAATTTACGCAAGCAAGTTATGAAGAGAAATGAACAAAATCTACTGAATGCCTAACATAGCCATATGATTAAGATTTATTAATCATTTTACCAAAAAATTTCATAAATGTGCAATCTAAGGTTCAAAGAGTCTAAGTCACTTGCCCAAGACCAACCTGTCAGTGGTAGACCCACAGTGAATGTCCTGATAATCTAAATCCCAAACCCATATTCTATTAAACTATGCTGTTTCTGTAAATAAGAGTAAACAATTACAAGATAGTGTTATAAGTCCTTTTGTGGAGTTTTGTACAAAACGGCTTCCACTAGATTATGATGCCTCTTATAGTTTTAACAATCCAAATCATGTGCTAACTGCAGTAAGATAGTAATTCTGAAATTATCTGTGTTGAAGGATAAGCCTTTTTCTTTAGTTTCCTGATTTTTATAGACTAATTACTTTAGTACAAGAGAAAATCAGAAACCTGGGTATCAAATTGCTAGAGAAGTTGCTAGCACTGACACTCAATTTTGTACATAATATGAAAACTGTTAGCGGTCCACAGAACTGCACATCTTTGGGCACTTTTTTTTTTCAGAGAACCCACATTTGAGTAAGTCAGAATTGCTGCCTTTAAGAAGCTTACAGTTTACTTGGTGAGTTAGAACTGTACTCAGTTAATGGTAACACAAAGTAAAGTGCTAGTTATAATAAAGCACAATTTTATGAATGTAGTAATTATTTAATTAAGATTGAAGATGAATATATCCCCAATGGTAGGACCTGCACAGGAAAGTAGGATTGATCTCTCCTCCAGATGAAGGTTGAGGCTTAGAATGGTATGTATTAGTGACTAAGGCTGTGTATTAGGGTACGGTAATATTAGAACAAAAATCAAAATATTTGGTGTGGAGTTCATGTTTACTAACTTGTACCACGAGTTCACTTTTACTATCTTGTGCAATATGAGTAGCATCATGCCATCAACCCTAGGAAGATGTAGAGGACCTTAAATGCAGACACAAATTGGCAGTAGAGAAATAGCTCCATGTGACAGCTACAAATTTTTCCTTGTGAATTCTTTTCAGAAATCATGGGCATACTAGGTCAGTTTTAATGCTGAAATGGAAAGAGGCTTTCATAACATTTGATCTCTATTATGTAGGTAGAACCATCATATCATAATTCATATTTTCACCTATTGTCGTCTTTAGGTAGTGTTACCAACAAAGTCAATGGAAGGAGCAAATCACTCTTCGGTGTCAGAGTTTGTGTTCCTGGGACTCACCAATTCCTGGGAGATCCAACTTCTCCTGTTTCTGTTCTCCTCTATGTTTTATGTAGCAAGCATGATGGGAAACTCCCTCATTATACTCACTGTGATTTCTGACCCTCACTTACACTCTCCCATGTACTTTCTGTTGGCTAACCTCTCCTTCATTGACATGGGAGTTTCTTGTGTCTCTTGTCCCAGGATGTTGTATGACCTATTCAGAAAACACAAAGTCATCTCCTTTAGTGGCTGCATTATTCAAATATTCTTCATCCACGTCATTGGCGGTGTGGAGATGGTGCTGCTCATTGCCATGGCCTTTGACAGATATGTGGCCATATGTAAGCCCCTCCACTACTTGACCATCATGAACCCACGAATGTGCATCTTCTTTTTAGTGGCTGCATGGACAATTGGCTTTATCCACTCCATGATTCAAATGATTTTCGTGGTAAACCTACCCTTTTGTGGTCCTAACGTGTTGGACAGTTTTTACTGTGACCTTCCTCGATTCATCAAACTTGCCTGCACAGACACTGATCAACTAGAATTTATGGTCACAGCAAACAGTGGATTTATCTCTGTTGGCTCCTTCATCATACTGCTCATTTCTTATGGTGTCATTATTCTCACTGTTCAAAAACATTCTTCAGGTGGTTCATCCAAGGCTCTGTCCACACTTTCAGCTCACATCACAGTGGTAGTCTTGTTCTTTGGTCCACTGATATTTTTCTATGCATGGCCATCTCCCTCCATACACCTAGATAAGTTTCTGGCCATTTTTGATGCTATTATCACTCCTGTCCTTAACCCTCTCATTTATACATTCAGGAATCAAGAAATGAAGGCAGCAATGAAGAGAGTATGCAGACAGCTAGTAAATATAGGAAGATCTCTTAAGTGACACTAATATTGTGAAGAACCCTTGCCAATTGCTAGTGTTTACTATTGATGGCCAAACTCAGAAAGTTTTATTTGTTCTATCTTGGCTTTGTTAGACACACTGGTACTATTTTTTTGGTTGTTGTTGTTCATAGGAGGAAGGACTTTCACTTATGAAACCAGGGAGTTATATATAAAGTATCTATAAAGCAAAGATTATAATAATCTTGAATCTAAATTCCTAAGGAATAATATTTATATATTTGGTAATTTTTAGAGATACATAAAAAGGTGTGCTTTCTCAATGTTATCCAAACAGGATAACATATGAACAGGAATTATATCCCAATCTACCCTATTATAGTTTGACCTTATCTTAATTTGTCTTTATCTGCAAGCACCCTAATATGATCACATTCATAGGTATTGTCAGGAAGGGTTAGGATTTCAGTATATCTATTTGATGGATACAAATTAAATCACAAATGTATTGTTATCAGTAAAGGTCTGAGAATAAGAAATGGTTGTAGCATAGCCACCTGCTAGTCAGAGTGCAAATATATAATAAAAAGAGAAGGAATTGTAGTGTTTCCAAGACTATTAAGTATATTTAAAAAGTTAATTAAATCAAAGTTAATTAATCATTAAAAAGTAACAAAACATATCATGTCATCATAAGCACAAAGTTACAGTTGTGATTGAAAAATGTCTCTACATAGGAGGATTACCCAGAAGGCAGAGAATAACATTTATTACCTTTAGTCAAAAGAAGAATGAATATATCCAGATAAATTTGACATGTCATCTGACAGAGAGAAATCAGATCATAGTCTTGCTTCAATATAGTATTTTGTGGCAAATTAAAAATAAAACAAAACTAACTTAAAAAACACATCAATACCCTAAATTCCTCATGCCAGAGGAGTGGATTAAAAAGATGTGATATAAATACAAAATGCAACACTACTAAGCCACACCAAAGATTAAAGATTGCTATATTCTGTAATATGGATGGAACTGAAAGAGATTATTCTAAGTGAAATAAAGTAAGAAGGGGACGATAAACAGTGGATGACTACTCGTATGTGGAGTATTGAGAAAAAATGAACAGATGAAGTAAAATGAAACAACTTTAGAAATGTGTAGAATTGAGACTACCAGAGGGAGAGGTTGGAACGGGGAATAAAGGGGAAAAGAAGATGATGGAGGAATACAATGATTGGTGATGGGTGTAGTTCGGAAACATACATCTGAAGAGTTGTGAAACACACATCTGAAGAGTTGTGAAACTATATCCCTAAATAATACACAGTGTTGAAATATTACCTCAATGAAAATAGAAGAGTAATGAACATAAAAATATCAAAGCTCAAGAGGTGGAAAGTTTGACAAAACATTTACATATATCATTTTGACTCATTACTTGAAAATATATGTATTTTTATTCCTTGACAATCAAGTATGTACTTAAATCATATTTTTGTTATAATTATCTCCAGTACAATTTCAATCATCCATTTTATGATTTTTATTGCATGTAACTACTTTTTATTTCACAGTTAGTAGTCTATCACTGAATAACTAGAGCCTGACAGTAGTATAAGTTGTAAAACTGCTATATTGATAAATGAAAGAGACATCAGTGTAGAATTGGCCTTAATTCCCAATATAATTAGAACAAACAGGGGTATGCAGCCAAGGAGCAGCAGGTTGGGGATGGTACTTAGACGTTAAGGGTAAGAGAAACTTTTGGTTAACTGACCTAATGGATTCTTGTGAAGGCAGCCCAAGGCGATCAGAGAGTGAGAAAAGTAGTTTAGGAATTTTAGCAGCTATTAAAGTGGTGGAGGAGGTATCTGAGGGCACACAAACATTTGTTGACCAGAGAGCTGGACTTCAGTAATCAGTCACCTCACCTTCTTGGTTGTATGTTCTGGCCACCACTCCAACGCAAGGAGTAACAGCATAAGATGTCCTGACTATCAAGACTGTGTACGTGACTGACCCAAGAAAGGTCTCTTTATAAACTTTCAGTATTCAGGTAGGTAGGTGCAGGGCTCTGCTCATCTCATCACTGCCCACAAGAAGCCTCATAAAGAAGTTTTCTTGCTTAATAGGGCTGGTACCTACTAATCCAGAATAGTCTGCCTTTTTGTTTGGTTTCTCCTTGCCCTCTGTGTATGGGGCCTGTTTATAAGCCAATCCAAAAATTCAGGATTTTCTCTAGATAGAATTAGAGAATTCTTGCTAACATTAGGCTTTACAATCCTAGCAAGGATGGGCCCCAGGTTGAGGCCTGTGGGGAATATGGCTCAGAGGATTGTGAATAGGGTTTTCTCAACTTAATGGTGAGTAATTGAGAATTATCATATATAATTAACTTAGTAGACTGACAAAGCTCATGAATGCTCACAACATACAGCCTGCTGCCACAAACACCTATAACTTGAAAGTAGTCAATGTTCTTAGTAATATAGAAAAATGACCATTTGCTAGCATGAAACAAATAGACACCCTGCAATGTTATATGTACAGTGCACATACACTCACACGCACCATAGCCAATGCCTGAAGACTCAATCTTATTGAAAAATTATCAAATGAATATCCAGTACTTTACCAACTCTAACACAAAATCTTTAAATAACTAACAATTTTAAAAGTTAAATTACACTAGACTTACTATGAATCTGTCAGAAATACAAGGCCAATTGACGGAAAACCTAATTTTATATTTCTAAACTTTTCAATGTTTACTTTATACATTTTGTTATAAAATCAAGGCATAGACCTATAGCTATTTTGTCCAAATGCATGTAATCTTTTTTTTTTTTAAGCAATTCTTTTTTAAAAAGATTATTTATTTATTTATTTATACAAGCACTGGGTACAGTCAGAAGTGTGGGAGGGTGTGAGGATTCACCAGAGCCAGAGTATGGAGCAGAGCAGGCAGACTGACGAAATGCAATGCTGAGGGGAGCAGCAGACATGGCAGGAGAGGTCTGTGCACCATGTGGGACCCTCGCCGGTGGCCGGGGATCGAACTGATCGAACCGGTGCTGCAAAGGCTGCCAGCAGCTTCGAAGCCCAGCGCTCAATGGCTGCGCCACAGAGCAGGCCCTGCATGTAATCTTTTATGATTCAGGATTAACATATTGACATGATTACTTGGAGAGTTGTTAACAGCCCTACAGATTAGCTAATTAAATGCAATACTCAATGAAGATATTTTCAGAAAATTCATTTTAGGGAAGGCTCTTAATTATAAAGTGCATTAGATACATTTTATGGAGTCTAGTTGGTTTCTTTCCTAACCACTGCAGTGCTGCTTCATATTTGCTCCCAAATATGAAGTTCCCCTCAGCAAAGGTGATCTGTCTACACCCATATCTGAATTTCTCCTGCCAATGACTGAAACCAATTTGTAACCATAACTCGGAGGGTTTAGCTAGCTATCTGTGGTGCAATGATTACACTGGATCTTTTTAATCATGGAAGAGGCAGTGATATGTCTTAGTAGAAATAGTTAGAAACAGAAAGTCCTTAGAATTGTTTTTGGGGGGCCTCCCTGGTGGTGCCGCAATTAAAATCTCAGTGGTATCAAACTATCGCCAGTGGCTGTGGCATGCAAAACTCTCCTGTCTCACCTGCTGCTCCCCTCAGCAGTATATTTCAGTAGATCTGCCCCTTCTGTTTTCCAAACTGTCTCTAGTGAATATTCTCACTACCTGCACCTCTGGCCTACACCCCAGTTCTTGTATGCATAAATATATAACAAAGCATTGTTAAGGTTCTTGGGAATAGTGACTTAAAAGGAAAAAACTAAAATAAACCAATTTTACTATAAACTAATAGATATAAAAACAATTAAGACCCTATAGTATATTTCTGGTCAAAAACCATCACCAAACTTCAAAAAAAAAACAAAAACAAAAACAAAAACAAAACCCACAACCCACATCACTTGTAATATTAGCGAATAGTTTGCAGTAATTCATTCATTTTCTATCTTGCTTAGTCCAGCTCAAGACTGTGGTAGCTAGTCTAGCCTAGCCATTCAGGGCACAAGGAATGTAACAAACCTGGAGTGGACATCCTTCCTTTACAGGGCACACTCAAACACATCCACTCTCAATGAGGCCAGAGTAATTTAGACATGCCATTAATCTAAAGGGAACATCTTTGGAATGTGGGAGGAGACTGAAATACCTGGCGAAACCTCATTAGACAGGGGGTGATCATGAAAAGCTCAAACAGACAGTGGTCCAGCTGGGAATCGTCCCCCACCCCCTCATCAACATTATAATAAAAAGACATTGACCAAAGTAACATTCCCATACCTGTTGTATTTCAAAATGTATTTGCCTCACTATTCCACTGCAATGACTTCATATAGTTTCAATATAGCTAAGCCAGAACTATGTTTACAGAATGCTCTTCCGTTTATGTTTCTAGGTGAAGGCCACATTCCCTGACGCCAAATCCACTAAAATCAAGTAACTATAGGTGTTCCATGAGTGGCAGAAACTAAAATTGGGGTCCCAGACAAGTGTATGCTCACTTGTTTGAGGGATACCAGTGAGCTATGTCAAGTGAAGGGAAAGCACAAGAATGGTGTGCACTGGCCTATGCTCACTGAGAGGAGAGCAAGTCCATTCACAGGCCTCTACATGTGTGTCAACCCGATTCTGACCCTCAGGCAGAAACTCCCACCAGCAAATAAGCCCTTTTATTTTCCCCCCTCAGAAAGACTGTTCTTCATTCTCTGCCCGTGCAGTGCCCTGTGGTGGTGACTTGCTATGAGCTAGCTCTCAGATTCTTCCAGTCCTGTGGGTGGCAGACCTCAATCCACCAAGGGAATCCCCTAGCAGCAGCACAGTCAGCAGGGTACCAGACACAGGCAGCATCTCCTCCCCTGAACACACGCAGCGAGCCAGAGCTCAGCACAGGAGCACGTTAAGATGGCGCCCTCCAGGCTCCACAGTGGAGACACTCCAACAGCTTCCAAGGCACTCACATCAG